TGCACTTTCTACACTTACGCTACGCTTGGTATCTGCTGTGTCTCTGACGTTGGCCAGGGGGTCGGTTTGGGTTCGGGTGGGTCTATTAACGTTCTTGTGAATGCACTTTCTACACTTAGGCTACGCTTGGTCTCTTCTGTGTCTCTGATCTGACGTTGGCCAGGGAGTCGGTTTGGGTTCAGGTGGGGCCTATTAACGTTCTTGTGAATGCACTTTCTACATTTACGATGCGCTTGGTATCTGCTGTGTCTCTGATCTGACGTTGGCCAGGGCGTCGGTTTGGGTTCGGGTGGGGCCTAATAACTTTCTTGTGAATGCACTTTCTACATTTACGCTACGCTTGGTCTCTTCTGTGTCTCTGATCTTACGTTGGCAGCTAGTTGGGCACACAGTTGAACCAGAGGCGGTTTTTGGCAAATCGATGTCAAAAATGGTCACCATTTTTGACATCGATTTTCAGATAAATCTTGACATTGATCAGACAACAACAAAAATCGTGATTTCGCCTAGGCGAAAACCCTTTCTTTGCATACAACCCAATATCCTGGATCTTGAAATTTGCACGACTACGTGCGCGGAAAGAGAGCCGCCGGGAAATTTAAGCCTAATTCAATTCCCATGTAATTCCAATTCATTTATACTACCAAAGAATTTGCTAATTGCATTTCTTTAAGACCCGCCAACGGGTATACAACCACATGACGAATGAGTGTGCGATCGTGTTGTTGACGAGGGTCAATAAATTTAGGTATGCCACCAATGCCTCACAGAACACTTCAAACAAACACAATCTCCAATAAGGGCATTGGTCCACTGGTCTCTTTGCGTATCTCATCCTCGAGACAAAACCGAGCACAGACTGTGCTGGGTCCAAAACAAAACCGACCCCACCGCTGCTACTGGGTTCTTGCTTGCTTGCTTGCTTGCTTGCTTCCTTGCTCGTTTACTGATCCGTTTGCTCGCTCGCTCGCTCGCCCGTCTAATTCGTACAGCCCTCGTATGGAGGTCGCGCGTGTTCCAGCATAACCTCATGAGCAAATTCTTAGATTTAGATAATTTACAATTCAAGTTTCATTCTAATTCAGTGCTACCTTGATTCTAATTCATTTGTAAGTGGAAACCCAAACTTAATTCCAAATCCAATCTAATTTCGTTCTATAAGTTAATTCTAATTCAATTCTAACCGGCTTTTAAGCCAAATAGCTTGAACTCAATTCCTATTTAAGTTTAATCCGATAAAAACTCAATTAGAGTCGATTTTTGATTCAATTCGAACCTAACTCTTCTAACCGACTGCTAAGTTATGCAGCTCTAATGTAGATCAAATTTCCTTCTAATTTAATTCTAACTTAACTCAAAAACACAATGTTTTTACATCGTTTTCTTGCCCTGGGAGTGCTGAGAACAAGGTAGTTCAACTGTTGTCGGTTAGGTTGGTTTGGAACAGGTGAGTAACTTGACCATGATCAGATTAGTCCATTGTGAAGTTCATAGTTTTTGGTCTGTGGTGCCATTTTGGCCCAAGACATCCGCACCACTGACCCAGATCACATTTTGATCATTTCTTGGCGCCCAGCTTTTCGGTAGGGCCTGGGTCACAGTGCCATGGCTGGCGCCCAGCTTTTCGGTAGGGCCTGGGTCACAGTGCCATGGCAAGTTCTTCGAGTCAGCCTTCTCAGAAGGCTATGTCAGCTCCAAAGAACGCTGGCGCTTCCACCCATCTTGCACAAACACCTCGCAATGGCACGGCGCGTCTCCGTGCGATCGGAGGATGTCATGCCTGACGACAGTGCTTGCAGCATGGTGGGTTCCACTACAGGCTCGGCAGCCTCTTGGACGAGGGTGACAGCTGGGCCAGTGACCCTTGGGCGGCCGCAGGGGAACCATGAAGTTGACGCCATCCTGCAATCCGGTCTGTTGGACCCGGGGTCCGCGGGGAAATTAAGCGCAGGGAAATTGAAAGGGAAATTCATGTTCGGCGCCTGCAATTGTGGGGGAAGGTGGTTAGAGCATTTTTGAGAGTGATCTCCGAACGTCAATACCTTCGGTTTCCCTGTTCAGATTGTTTAAAGCTCGACGAGGCCCTTGTTGAGTCATTAAAACACTGGAGGTCCCTTGTTGCCAATGGACCGCCTCGTCCGATCGACCTGCAGGTGAGAAAGAGCGACGATGTGATTACGGACGGCTTCGCGCAAGACCCACGCGAGCAGGACACTCGGCCAGACCGAATCGGAGCCGTGATGGTCGATCGAAGATTGACGTCCCCGGTTCAGTTCACAGGGGTCGTGCCCAAGACCATGAAATGGCTAGATCGTAAGACTCAGATAGTCCCGGATAGTCCCGGTTGAGATGGTAGCTCCCATAGTAGCTTTGGACGTTCCGCGATCGCGCAATTAATGTGGATCTGGTGCTTGAAGCAGTGGAAGGAGCCTTGATCAAGGGCTATTCCAGTAAGTCGGACATCTGCAGCTTGGTTTCGGTCTTTTGTCTTCAATTGAAAGTTCGGGTTTTTCAACAGAGGCGAATCCCGCGGACTGGCCCTCTTGTGGTGATTTGGAAAGGGGTGCCAAGGCCGGCTGGACCGGCTGGAAAACCAGATCCTCAGTTTGGCCTCCTTCCTTATAATCCCCTAATTTTGTCAGAGTGGTCGTTCGTAGGTGTGTCTGCATCGCCTGGGTGAAAGTTTTTGAGCTTGATCATAGCTTGTTCCTCAACTGGAGTTTGCTTCCCGTTTTGTGATGCTCACCTTGTTTATGTTGCTCTTTGTTGAATGGGTCAGAGGGTCAAGTTCGAACTGTTGGGCCTGTTGGGCAGATTTCCAGACCCAAGACCTGACTCTGCTCAGCCCCACGCCCTTGAGCAGTCCAAAAGCGTGCGATGGGATTGCTCAACTGATTGTTCAGTTATCGCAATGGAAGGGAGAGATGCTCGACCGTTCTAAGCTCTATCGAGTTAGCGCATTGTTTTGGAGTCTTGGAGTAGATAGATTCCCTTCAGAGTAATCCTTGTGATTTGTCATTTCTATATTTCAAAAGCTCTATTAAAAAACTTCCATTGCAAAAGCTTTTCCTCTGCATCTTTGAAAATGGTCATTTCTATACTAAAAAGCAAAAAATATTGTATACGCTGTTATTTCAAAAGCTTTCCTCTAGGTTCTAGATCTTTGGGAAAATAGGTTTTCTACATATAGAGCTTTTATTTCAACAACTTTCCCTCTAGATCTCTGGGAATGATCACATCTATAAAAAAGATTATAAACGCTTCTATTTCAATAGCTTTTCTTAAGCTCTTTGGGAATGGCCTTGTTACATACTCAAAACATAGACATTTTTATGCACAGTAGTAGTAGCAGTAGTAGCAGTAGGAGTAGTAGTAAGTAGTAGTAGTAGTGGTGGTAGTAGTAGTAGTAGT